ACAAACGGAAGAGGGTCAACTCTTGACTTTGTGAGAGCCATAGCCTGACTGTACCCAATCATGGAAGCACAAATCATAGAATCCCTACAGTGTGGAAGCAGGCCATTCAGCCCATCGAGCCCACACCGACACTCCAAAAAGCATTCCACCCACCGTATCCCTGTAACCCTGCATTTCCTATGGCTGATCCACCCAGCATACACGTCCCAAGGTGCAGTGGGCACTTTAGCATGGCCAATCCACCTGATCTGCACATCTTTGGACTGTGGAAGGAACCACACCTTGACACCAGGTTCTCTCTGACCTGCTGTACAGTCGTGATGACTGTGGCGATGTCTCCCAGAATTCCTCTGGGACTCTCAGCCGCCCTCTGATTCGCTCAGTGAGTGACCATTTTGTCCATAGAGCGTGAGAGAGACATCTTGAAGTAGTTACTACTTCTCAACAGGGAAACTGGAGGAGGGTATCCAGGACTGCTATATTGAACCAGCCCCACTAAGAGATTAAACTGACAGTGCTGTAAAAGTGAAACAAAAAAGCCTTCACTCTTCCAAGGACTTGTTCTACTCATTGCACTGTGTGATCACCCTCTGTTTATTTGTCTACAGAAGCCATTGTAGCTGCTGAAGGTGACTTCAAGTTTTCAACTCCTTTGCTTCAGAAAGAAAACCTTCAAACAAGCCATAGTAATAATTTGCAACAATTGTAGAGACTAATCTCATTTTCAGCCTCATCCATGACTTCCAATGCACTTACTTTAAATCTTTGCATCCTTATTTTAGCTAATAGCTTTATGACTTTTTCCATAAATAACCTCCAGCCATAGGCGTACAATGAACTAACTTTTTGCCTGATTTGAAGCTATGCTATTGGTTTTCTTTTAAAATTGAAATATTTGGAAACTAAGAGGTAATTACAAACAAGTTTATATAAATTCTCTGAAAACATGCTTGATGTTGATCATGATTATACGGTTTTGTTAAAATGATTGATTGAAACTGTAGAGTGCAGCAAAATGATTAATCTTTTTATCCTTTTCACAAAAGCATGACTTGCTCCTTTTTACTTAATTTTGTTTGAAAGTTTATTTGCATTAATAGGATCTAACTGGGAAAGGTAGGAAGCTGCAGATGAGATGTTGAATGGTCACTTGTGGGTCTGATACTTCTGGCTGTAGACTCTGTGTTAGGAAGTGCTTTGCACGTCATGATCAACCAGAAGATAGATTTCTAGATATGGATGTGAAGACCAATTCAACAGGTCATTGAATTCTGAGATCAGAGAGTCAGGGGACGGTATCTGCATCCTTCTGGATTTTTGTGTTTGGATATGTGGTTTGTGTTCTAGAACAACACCTATCTTGTGATCCACAAATGTCCCAGACATCAAAGAATATTTAAACATTTGCCAGGCTGTCTTTTTGAGTACAAGTAGACTGATGACCTTAAAGGGATAGGCCAAGTTAATCAGCAAATTAAAGCATTCTGTGCTTGCAGTGTAATGCTACTTAGGTTATTAAGCATTGTAAAAGTCCAGCCATTCAAGAAGAAAGCAATAGAGATTAGACTAATAAAAGTAAAATTCCTGATATTGGAGGAGAGAGGTAAGAGAGGGACTGGATGTGAAATGGCACAATGCCACAGTGTGCTGATTCGGGAGGAGTAGAGAGTTAGAATGGATAGATCTGTGCACTCAGCACCATGCTCAGTTGCGTTAGCCAAGAGTCGGTGTAGATCAAAAGAGATTGTAGTGCAGCTGCATAAGGCACTGACCAGATCCCATGTGTGGTCCGATCATTGAAAAGCTAATATTATTACATCCCTATTTTTCACTGCTGTTTGTGTCAGGGTGCTGTTGAACAGCACATGTTGAATCTGAGAGATTTTCACCGAGTTGCCCTGTGATGGAGTCATTTAATTTGCAATGCGACTATATCCTGAGCTGCAGAAGCAGTGTATAGATTGTAAGAATGAAGTCTGATCTGAAGAAAAGCATTTGTTAAGGACAGACTGCACATTTGCACCGTCAAATGAAGTGACAGCATTGTCCAGTGATACGTTGGGATACTATCTGCACGTGAAGTTAATGTGACATTGTTCTGTACTACATTCCAGAAAAGGGAATGAGGAGCTACAGCTCACATTGTCAGCTTATAACAGCAACTGGGCTATCTGAACAACTACAATAGCTGATATTTATATAATTCCTTTAACATAATGAAAAGTCTCAAGGTCTCAAAGTCTGAGTGCTACACGAAAGGCAGGAGATGGAGGAAAAGTGATGAAGGGTAATCTTGTTTTCTATCTGATTCCCTGGTCTGTGTCCCTTAACCAATATGACTAAAACAGATTAGATGGTCATTGTCACATTGTTGCTTGTAGGAGCTTCCAGTGCACCAGCTGGCTGCTATATCCTTCATTGGCTACAAAGCATATCCAGGCATTTCTTTTCAAAAGACGCTTTATAAATTGTGAGGACCGTGATTTTTTTATTTTGTGTTTTTAAAAACGGGGACCTGAAATGAGAAAGAGCTGATTTAAAAACCAGTGTTTGAATGGATGACTGCAGTTTTGAAAACAAGTGATCTGACACGCATGTGAAGGAACATGAAAACAATGACTTGAACAAGTAATAATTGAAGTTCAGGTTGCAGTCAATTTAGAGCCAAGTGGGTGTACCAGTGCAGTTTTTGCTGGCAACAAGAAGTTGATTGGTCTATGGGCTAATGACCAGTTATCAATGACAGAAACCTTTTTGCCTGTCAACTACTGTTTGATTGGTTCTCAGGCACCTGAACAGCCTGGAGCTGGGAGCAAGTTACTGAAAGAGAGGACTGTCCTGTTCTGCTCTTCCACAGCTGAGGAATAGTCTCTCTGTTCTCTGCAATCAAAACTCACTGCAAATCTGAAGAAAGCCAATTTATTTTTCCTGCAACAGTTCTTGTAAGCTGTGACTTTTAACTCACAAGTCAGCGACCGTTATAGGGGTGCTAGTCATCTTGTGTCTCTTGCCAACCAATGGAAGCACCCAGAAAAGGATGATTGAAGGAGAATATGGCCATCAGAAGAGTCATAATGATCATCGCAACAACAGAATATGGGCACCAAGACCACTGAGCTATCCTTCCAGTTTCTCTCCACATAACCTATTTTACCCAGTCCACTTATCTCTGTGTGTATGTGTACAGGGAGTTTATAAAGGGACTAGAGTTTCAATTAGGATTACATGTTGAATTTTTTTTTTGTTTGAAAATAATAACCTGGGCCTGGAGTGTATTCACAAACAGTTTCTTCAGTCAGCAGTAGGGCTACCACTTCAGAAAATATTCTTGCTTGCAGCATGGATTCTGAGCTCTTCCTCTGTCACTTACTCCTCCATCACTCACCCTCCACTCCCTTCCCTCGCTCTGTCACTTTTGCTTTCCCCTTGTTGGGTCACTTCCTCCTTTCCCTCATTCCTCCTCGTTCACCCTGTACTTAGCCACTGACTTCTCCTTATCACTCTTGCAGCTGTGGGGTAATGCTGTAACTGATCCCTAATTGGAGCCGCACACTGGGCAGGTGTGCAGGCCTGCACCCACCTTATCATTTGGAGTGTAATTGATGCAGGATACACCTCCCCTCACCCCGAACACAATCTCCTTTTGTAATATTGTGGGATGGTTATCACTGACCTCTGTTCATCCTGACCTGCAAAATGTGTCCTTAGTGCATTCGAGGGGCAGTCAGTCTGTAGGACAGTACATGTATGTAGTCCACTAAGCTCGTTAGTAATGCAAATGTCATTAAACAGGTTGCAAGCTAAATTTATAATGACCTTTGTGTGATGAATAATGAATGGAGCTTTCCTGTGCTGATTGTATTACAGCTGACATTAGGGTTAGTGCAGTGAAGGTGTGGCTTTGTGTTCATGTTCCCTTTGTGCGGAGACCAACTCTGTGAACTCTCTCCTCCCGGCACTGTTTGTTGTGGTCTGTCTGTGCCTGATTTAGGAACCAGCCTTCAGGGGCAATCCGACTGTAAAGCTGGTTGGTCCCGTCACGTTGTCTTCGTTTGTCACAGTCTAGGGCAGCGTTAGTGTGAGTGGCTGTGAGCCGACATGTGCCTGGCAACTGTTACCAAGCGACAAAAAAAAACCCAGCTCCGATGGCCATTGGTGCTGTAGCTGCTTGTTCGGGGGCAGGGAAGCAAAGGTGGCTAGAATTCTTCCGCATCAGCTGTGATGGAGCAAAGGCGAGGGGCTCAGGTGCAGCTGCCGCGAGAGGAGAAGAGAGCAGTGGCACTACGAATGTGGCACTGACAGGATGTGTTTCTTTAGCACAATGGATACGCTAGACTCTCCTCTGAATCAGGAGATTACTGCTTTGTACATGCAGCCTCTCCTCTCGCAAGGACCGAAACATTGATTAATGTGTTTGGCAGCCTGGGAATTTGGAATTATCTGCAAATGCAGTCCACTACCTTCCTGCTTCTTGGCTGATTTTGCGGTCTTTGAAGAGCTCGCGGCATTTTTGCACCTAAGACAAAAAGTGCCTCAGGCCACTTTTTAAGAGGAAGGGAATATACCTTGGCATTGGCATTCTGTGAGATCTTTACATTTCTCTCAGGGCTCTGGTCTCCTTCTCTCTCTTTACTCTGTTATGAGAAACAGCTGGAAGCGGTACACTGGAGGGAGCTAGTCAGCAGCCTTGCTGTGTTGAGGTGTGTCAGCAGTCCTCTGATGCTGAGGAGGCATGTGCAGCCCGAAAGTGCTGGCTGCGGAGACTGAGGGGAGCAGCAGAGCAAGCCGGAGGAGCAGAACGGAGCAGTGTGAGAGTGAGGAGTGGAGTGGACCAGGGGAGCAGCAGAATGAGTCGGAGCGGGGAGTGAGCCACAGCATGCCGGAAGAGTAGAGTGAAAGCAGGGCAGCAGCAGATTGAGACGGAGGAACTGCAGTTAAGAGCAAATGCTGTGCTGGCTGCTTCCAGTCGCTGTGGTCTGTGGCCCACCCTTACCTCTGCCATGAACCAGTCCACGGTTGAATGGAGAGCTGAGAGTGTGAGCAACACCTCGGTTAACCTGTCCAACCACGCTTGCCCATTGGGCTTTGGCCACTACGACGCAGTTGACGTTTGTGTCCTCGAGACTGCCATCATCGTGTTGCTGACAGTTCTGATCATAGTGGGAAATCTGATGGTGATCTTTGTGTTCCACTGTGCCCCACTCCTTCACCATTACACCACGAGCTACTTCATCCAGACCATGGCCTATGCAGACCTACTTGTTGGGGTAAGCTGCTTGGTTCCTGCACTCTCCCTCCTTCACTATCCCACGGGTATGCAGGAATCTCTCACCTGCCAGGTTTTTGGCTACGTCATTTCAGTGCTGAAGAGTGTGTCCATGGCTTGCCTGGCTTGCATCAGTGTCGACCGCTACCTTGCCATTACAAAACCACTCTCCTACAGCCAGCTAGTCACCCCGTGCCGTCTTAGGCTGTGTATCATTCTCATATGGATATACTCCTGTGCAGTTTTCCTGCCCTCATTCTTTGGATGGGAGAAGCCAGGCTATCATGGAGACATATTTGAATGGTGTGCTACCTCTTGGGAAACCAACGCTTACTTCACAGGCTTCATAGTCTGTTTGCTGTATGCCCCTGCTGCCTTCATCGTCTGCTTCACCTACTTCCACATTTTTAAAATCTGCCGGCAGCACACCAAAGAAATTAATGAGCGCCGTGCCCGGTTTCCCACCCAGGATGTGGAAGCTGCTGAGGGTGGGCCCAGCCCTGACCGGCGCTACGCAATGGTCCTGTTTCGGATTACAAGCGTCTTCTACGTGCTGTGGCTCCCCTACATTCTTTACTTCTTGCTGGAGAGCTCCCGTGTGCTGGAGAGCCCCTCGCTGTCCTTCGTAACGACGTGGCTTGCCATCAGCAACAGCTTCTGCAACTGTGTCATCTACAACCTCTCTAATAGCGTCTTCAGGCTGGGCTTGAGGAGACTGTCACAAACGGCCTGCTCACTGTGCCTGCCTTTGGGGGACGAGACGGCGAGAGATCCCAAACCCAGGAAACGGGCCAATTCCTGCTCCATCTAACGGCCCAAGTGTTTTTGAGGACAGAAAGCAGATTGCGGTTACAGCACTCCCTACTGTCTGGCATTCTTATGCAAAACCGCCTGTGGGAACAGGAGAAGTGATAGCTAAAGGGCTCGCTGGAATGGTCTGTTGTGGAGCGACAGGAGGCCATTCCACTATTCTTGTAGATCATGATCTGTATCTTAACCCTGTCTACCTGCCTTGGTTCCACAATCCTTATTAACCCTGTCTTTCACAAATCTGTCAGGTTTGTTTTGAAATCTTCAATTTAAACCCTGGTCTCAACAACTGCTTGGGAAGAGTGTCTCAGATTCCTACGACCCACTTTGGGATGCCAGAAGGTGATAACTGGTCTGCAGTGTTCTGATCATTTGTTCAAGATGGAGCTCATAATGTAATCAACCTATTAACTACCTAAAGACCTCGACCCTAATTACAGAGTAACTAGCTGAAGAGGGCATTGCATTCACTGCTTTGGAATATGAGTAGAAGGGCTGAGCAGTGGAGAGGCTTTTGTTAAGAGTGCTCCTCGAGGTACTGTATTGACTATACATCATTCTGATCACCAAAAGCATGGGGCAGATGTTTGTACAGCTTTCTACAGGAACATAAACACTTTCACTAGGTGTGCCGTCTTCTGATGTAGGCTGCAACTCTTTATAACATGTCAGTGTAAGCTTGCACATATTGTACAAAATATTTGGTGGAGTTTATTCTGTGTCTGTGCCTGATGTAACTAACCCACATTTATTGTTTCGAGGAGTACAAGAGGGTTAAAGAGGGCAGGAGTTGAATTTATCTTTAAACAATAAGAATTGAACGCAAAAAAAAGTCACAGTGCATTGATACATATCCTGAAAGATATTTCAGGTTGTTGCATTAACTGTGACAGTGACTTGTCCTCTCTGTAGTTCTGGTATTGATAGGGATGAAAGAAAGTGCCAACTGGGTTTGACTGTTCCACTGGCACCGGGACCATTGATATAAAGAGAGAAGAAGCGAAGGCTGGGGTTGGGGGGGGATATCTTCTGATTCTGTTTGTGTCACGCTACTCAGGAATACGTTGCAAAAAAAAAGGGGAAACAGCAGTGAATATTTGCATTGTCCTCGGTGTGAATGCCGCTGATTAACCCTTCGATCTCTCCAGCATCTTTGCTTCTGGTACGTTCGGTCAGTCAGCACTGACTCAGAGAGCAGTTTGTGGAATGCCTTTCCACCTGCCAGCACCACATCCTGAAACCAACTTTTCGATTACCTGCTGGGTGCAAGGGTGTTGCTGTAGTACTTGAAGGGTTATGTACTGTGTGATATGGGAGAATTAAGCTGTAAGAATGTAATGTTAAATTATTTTTAAACATTGATTTATTGTTAATTGTTTTACATTTAAAAAGTGACTTTTATATATATATAATACATATATCTATAGAATACATATTTGAACAGCCTGTATCGAAGAGGTTTAATAAATGAATCGCCCTGAATCGACCGAGTGTGATTGTCTCCCAGTGCACTGCAGTCTGCTACAGGATTCCATCAATTTTGTGAAGGTTTTGTCTGTTGTTTCCTTTGCCTTTTTGATTAGCCTCCTTTCTCTCAGTTTTCGATTATCTTTGGTATAAGGTGCACCGCATTCCTTTTTTGCATCGACCACATTCCAGTGCAGATTGCTCTGCAGTGTCCCTTTTCCTCTTATAGCATAGCTCCTCCTCCAGTGCAGCCTTCCAGTGATGTAGCTGTGCCTCCAGAATTAGCCCCAAGATGAGCTGCCTTAGTTGTCCCTGTGTTGTCCTCTTGCTAGGGTGTCAGCCAATCGCAGCTTCTTAATTTATCACTTCTTCTCCTCTATTTTCAGAGTTATTTGGTTTTGGCCTCAGTTTTTCAAAAGAAATGCGACCCCAATCCAATGGAAAGCTGTTTCACTGCAGCTGCTGGGCAGTGCTGTCCCCTGTGCTGTGCTGTGGCAATCCTCATGCAATGTTGACCATCTACAACAAGAGAAAATCTAAATGTTGTCCTTGATATTCATGGAGTTATGGAGTCATGGAGTCACGGAGATGTACAGCACAGAAACAGACCCTTCAGTCCAACCTGTCCATGCTGACCAGATATTCTCCATTAATCTCGTCCCATTTGCCAGCATTTGGCCCATATCCCTCTAAACCCTTCCTATTCATATATCCGTCCAGATGCCTTTTAAATGTTCTAGTTGTACCAGCCTCCACCACCTCCTCTGGCAGCTCGTTCCATACACACACCACCCTCTGTGTGAAAAAGTTGCCCCTTAGGTCCTTTTTAAATCTTTCCCGTCTCACCTTAAACCTATGGCCTCTAGATTTGGACTCCACGACCCTGAGGAAAAGAAATTGACTATTCACACTATCCATGCCCCTCATGATCTTATAACCTTCTTTAACCTCTCATCCTCCAACGCTCCAGCAAAAACAGCTCTCGTCTATCCAACCTCTCCCTATAGTTCCAACCTTCCAACCCTGGCAATATCCTTGTAAATCTTTTCTGAATCCTTTCAAGTTTCACAACATCTTTCCTATAACGGGGAGATCAGGATTGAATGCAGTATTCCAAAAGTGGTCTAACCGATGTCATGTACAGCCGCAACATGACCTTCCAACTCCTATACTCCGTGCACTGACCAATAAACGCAAGCGTACCAAATGCCTTCTTTACTATCCTGTCTCCCTGTGACTCCACTTTCAAGGAACTGTGAACCTGCACCCCAACGTCTCTTTTTTTGGCAACGCTCACCAGGGGACTTTACCATTAAGTGTATTAGTCCTGCCCTGATTTGCCTTTCCAAAATGCAGCACCTCACATTTATCTAAACTGAACTCCATCTGCCACTTGTCGGCCCATTGGCCCATCTGATCAAGGTCCCGTTGTTCTTCGATGTGACCTTCGTCGCTATCCACTACACCTCCAATTTTGTCAATATCATTACTGTGACTGAATCCTCCACTGTCAACATCCTGGGGTTTATCATTTACCAGAAATTGAACTGGACTAGCCATATAAATACAGTGGCTACAAGAGCAGGTCAGAGGCTATGAATACTGCAGCAAGTACCTTACCTCCTGACTCCCCAAGGATGTTCACCATTGACGGCACAGAAGTCAGGAGTGTGATGGAATACTCCCCAGTTGCCTGGATAGATGCAGTACCAGTAACACTGAAGAATCTTGACACCATCCAGGACAAAGCAACTTAATTGACACCCACATCCACTCTCTCCACCACTAACGCTCAGAAGTGTTACCATCTCCAAGATGCACTGCTGAAATTCATCAAAGTTGCTCAGACAGCACCTTCCAAACCAACGACCACTTCTATCTAGAGGACAAGGGTAGCAGGTACATGGGGCCACCACCCCCTGCAAGTTCCCCTCCAAGCTACTTGCCATCCTGACTTGGAAATACATCGCCATCCCTTCACTGTCACTTGGTCAAAATCCTAGAATTCCCTGCCGAAGAGCATCATGTATGTCCCTGCACAACATGCCCTGCAGCAGATCATGGAGACAGTTTACCACCACCTCCTCGAAGGCAACTAGGGACAGGCAATAAATTCTGGCCCAGTTAGTGACATCTACATCCCACAAATAGATAATGAAAAAAAGTTCCCTCAACAAATCAACACCTTACATAGTGGTTTTGCTAGAACAAAACATTCCACACTACTTCCCAAACAAAATTCGACACTGAGTCACTTAAAGGAGGTATTAAGAAACAAACTTGGCCAGCGGTTGGATTTAGGAAAGGTCTTAGTGGAGGAAAGTGAGACAAGCCAGGTTAGGGAGAGTGTTGCAGAGCTTAGGGCAGTTGAAGGTGTAACTGACAATGTTGGAGCAATTAAAATTAAAAGGCCAGAAATGCCGGAGAGCAGATATCTCAGAGGGTCAAGACCATGGAAGGATTGAAAGTCAAGAGTGAGAGCTTGAAAATTAAGATTTAGCCAAATATTGAACCATTATAGTTCAGAGGGCGCATGGTGGGTGAGTGAGACTCGGTGTGAGTTAGGACATGGGTGGCAGTGCTGGATGTTGGACAAGCAATCTGATGAAATAGAGATAGTGGATAGGCCAAGACAGGTAGTAGTGAGTTGAACTGAGTATATTCAGCATACATGTGGAGGTAACACCCCTCCCCACCAAGTACCACCTTCCAGATAGATTGCAGTAAAGCATTCTGTTGGTAAGAGTTGATGTTCTCAATTTAAGATATGCTTAATCTTTAATTGTGGACAGTATTAAACAGCATTGTTGCTGTTTAAGGTGAAATCAGTTGGATGTGAAAACACTGCTCTCTACATTAGTATAAGTAGTCTGTGCGTGACAATGTCCAAGACTCTGGATTCCAGTAAGAAACCAAACACACCTCAGTGTTGTGGGAAGAACATTTGTGTTTTTGCCGACTGAGGAGCTGATTCAGTGTTGCCTCTCACGATATTAAATACGTGTAGAAAATCAAGTAGGGCGTGTGTATAAAAACAGAGTATTCATTCAGAAAGTCTAACCAGCCAGTCGTTACTAGGAATAATAACTACATAGAAGTAAACAGTCGGCTGGGCCTCGGTCGGGAGCATTATCCCTCAGACTCATAATGTTGTGGCTTCACGTCCCACTCCAGAGACGTGAGCAGGTCATCCAGGCTGAGAGTGCAATGCAGTACTGAGGGAGTGCTGCACTGTCAGAGGGTCAGTACTGAGGGAGTGCAGCACTGTCGGAATGATGGATACTCTACTGACACCACTGAAACAAGTTGACTGGTCAATCTCACACAGCTACTTATGGGACTTCTCTAGCTTGTGCAGGACTTTTCATGGACTTAATAGTTTTTAACATACTTTGAAACATCCCAAGGTTATGAAAAGATCAATATAAATTCTTTCTTATGAAGAAAAGTGCTTCATAAGAGGCAAGTGCCCCTATCATAGCTGGTCATATGGGAATTTTCCAGAGTTTGTCTCCTAACTGGCATGGGAATTTT